TACTCTCTATCTCTTCCCAAGTCCACATTGGTAGTTTGAAATCAGCCATGGTGGCAGTATTTATGCCATAGAAATCAGCAAATGCTACCAATCGTAGTTCCCACCACTATTAAAACTTTAGATATTTACCAGCATCCAACTGCTTCAAGAGACAATACTGCTCTATCTGTACTGTCATGGACTTACTCTGTCACCATCGTCACCTTCTGTTCTCGTCTTCAATTCCAGACTAACATTCCTAGAAGAGAGAAACCAACATTGGATCATGTCTTAAAAACTAATGGAATACAGTTGAGTAGTTCCTGGCATCTTAAAAGCTTGTAAGCAGCCATCTAAGTCGTAATAATTAGTTTCTATTTGCCTAGAGCAACAGAGGAAGAAGAGTCAGGAATAGAAGGAAGATAAGGAGTGTGTGTGGCTACTTGTCTCCATGAACAACTGCCTCTTTTGCTGTAAGACCAGAACTGGATGGTGCCCAGCTACCATTATTGAACATTTTGGTCAAGAATTCTATAGAGGAATCCTGATCAAAAGGGGGAAAATTCAGAACAGAATTTCAAATTCTTATGAATTCCAAATTTTTGGGAGCTGTGGGTGCTGGACTCCTGAAACTATAGCCCTGAGATAATCTTTAAACCTTAAACCAAAAATATTCCCTGAAGTCTTCTCAACACCAAACAATAGTTTAGCTTAACTACTTTAAAAAAAAAAAAAAAACACTGTACTCTTGTAAGAACTATAAACTCTCACTGCAATTGAGTCGGATCCAACTCTTAGTGACCCCTCCGTGGCCTTCTGAGGCAGTATCACTACGAAAGTAGATTGCCTAATCTTCCTTCTGAGGAGTGGTTGGTGGGTTTGACCGCCAGCCTTCTGGTTAGCACTCAAATGCCTTAGGCACTACACCACCAGAGCTTGTAAGAACTATATATGGAATCAAACTGAGAACAACTTGAAAGATTACATAGGAACTTCATGGAGCAACGAGCTTATGTTACTGGAGAGGAACAACTCAGAAAAGGAGGATGAGAATGGTTGCACAACTCATAGAATGTAATCAGTGTCCCAGAATTGTACATGCAGAAACTGTTGAATTGGTGTATATTTTGTTGTATATATCTGTAACAACAAAATAAAAAGTAATGGGATAGGGAGAATAGTTCTGCAACCTGAAGAATGTAGTCAATGTCACGGAATTGTACATGTGGAAATTGTTGAGATGACATATGTTTTGTTATATATGTATTCTCACCATAATAAAATTTAAAAAGAAAATAATAGAGATGGAGTTAAATGATTTGTAGCCTCCAGTATGGAGTGCCTGTCTCAGGCATTCTCTCCTCTCAGGGGAACCTTCTGTTTGCAATGAAGGACTTTTGTCAGTCCAGTCCAGGGGGACTAAACACCCAAAGGACCCTGAAAAAAGGCTTTGGTTGTCCTCCAGGTATCTATCTTAAGGGTCCGTCCTGATCACCAGCTGAAGGACAAAGATGAATAAAATGATTCCCAAGCTCACAGTTGGGGAAGACAAAACTTCTCCATTTCCAATCTGCAGTCACTTTTGTTCTTTGTCATTGTTCAGTGACACTGAGTTGCTTCTGACTCATAGTGACACTGTGTACAACACAACAAAACACTGCCTGGTCCTGCTCCATCCTCACAATCCTTGCTATGCTTGAGCCCATCATTGCAGCCACTGTGTCAATCCATCTCCTTGAGGGTCTTCCCCTTTTTCACTGACCCTCTACTTTACCAAGCATAATATACTTCTCCCTCCTGACAACATGACCGAAGTATGAGAGGCAAAGTGTCACCATCCCCACCTTCAAGGAACATTCCAGCTCCAGTCACCTCTGAGATTAATAAATTCTACAAATCTTGAATTTAGAATCACATCATGTATGAGAGCTAGATGGGTCTTTAGGGATCATTCAATATTTCTTACCCTCCCTCATTTTACAGATTAAAAGACTGAGTCCACATGGTAGTAAACAGCTTGCCCACGGACACAGAATAAATTGGTGGCCAGAACCCCAGGACTCCTGAAACCTGGATCAAGGACCTTTCCTTAACATCCTAAGTGTCTTTTAGAGGAAGTGTATCCTTGGAAGATAGGCCCGGCAATTTACTTCTGAAGAATCAGCCATCATAAACACTGTGGAGCACAGGTCTACCCTGACACGCCCGGGGTCACCCCAAGTCAGAATCAACTCAACAGCAACCAGTTTGGTCTTATATGCTCTTTAGGGAATCTGAACAGGGACAAGCACAAAGTTTGCACACAAAAACACACTTACTGCTTTTTCCTCTGCTTCCTCCTAAATAAAAGAATGTTTTTTATAGAGTACCAATTAAATGTTAGATGCTGTGGAAGACACTGAAGATCATCCAATCACTCATACCTGGGACGGAAGGGTGGAGTCACTCCTTAAACTCTGGCAAGGTATAAGGTAGGGGAACTGCCTCCGATCTAACGCTGTTCTGACCCCTCAGTGAGTAGAATGGCAGTCAGCCCTGCTGTCTGAAGAATGGAAGTTAAACATTAGAATTCTTGACTGGGAAACGTAGGAGACAGAGAAAAGGCCACTGAGGTACTTTCCCAAGTGACTCAAGTCTGGGGTACCTTTTTTCCCGGTGCTGTGTGACATTTGAGGAGATCTGGTGGTGTAATGGTTAAGTCATCTGGCTGCTAAGCAAAAGGGTGGTGGTTCATATCTACCAGCCATGGAAGAAAGATGGGAAAGTCTGCTTTTGTAAAGATTTACAGCCCTGGAAACCCAATGGGGGTCTCTATGAGTCAGAATCAACTGGATGGCAGTGAGTTTGGTGTTTAAGTTCTTCTGTAACATTTGAAATATTTGGGTCTGTCTGGGCTGGTGATGCCATGGCTTAGGACAGGCAGAGAAGAGGGGCTGAGAGGCAACGCTTTAGTCCTTAAAGACATTTTGCATTTGCAACATTTATACTCATCCTCTGGAGGAAAAAAAAAAAAAAAAAGGAAAAAGATGTACAAAATAGGGGCCTAAATTTCTTATTATTAGATTCAACAAACCTAACTTACTCCATCAGACTTTTCTAAAAATTTGTAAACGCTTTCAATTTTCATACTTGTTACAGAAGAATAATCAGTTCACAGCTCAGCATTAATCCTGGCCCACATGTTGAGTACACTGCCTTAGACCCTGCAGTCCCTTTGGTGGGGGGCTGGCTGTCCAAACCAGACTCTAGCCTTCCTTCAAGCCCCAGGAAAGAGCTTCACCAATCAAGGAAGACCTCTGTTCCTTTCACTGTAGTTCCAAGGAGTGGCTGGTGGGTTTGAACTGTCAGCCTTCTGGTTAGCAGTCAGATGCCTTAGGCAGGCACCTCCTTAAGCACAAAGAACACAAAGTGAACTTAAAACACCTATTGCTGCCTAAGGTTGCTGACTTCCCAACAACAAAGTGTTATCACAAAGAATGTTGTTGTTGTTATGTGCCATTGAGTCGGCCCCGACTCATAGCGACCCCTCCTTGGGTTTCCGAGGCAGTATCACTACGGAAATAGGATTGCCCAACCTTCCTTCCGAGGAGTGGCTGGTGGGTTTGAACCGCCAGCCGTCTGGTTAGCAGGCAAGTGTCTTAGCCACTATGCTACCAG